CGTTGGATGTGGTGAGTGGCTGTGACACGGGTAGGCCGTGAGATGTGGTGGGCACAGTGATTGGCATGCAATGTTTGACCGTCGACGCCCGAATGATGCACAAAGATGGGAGATTCAGGTCAGTGGCCCCTCCGCTCTCCTCCGCCTCTCCCCCCTCCCCCAAGAACCCCCTCCTCCTCCTCCTCCGCCCCTCCCTCCCCAGCCTCCGCTCCTCCGCCTCCCCTCCGCTCCATCCCGTCCTCCGTCGCTCCCCTCTGCCAGCGCTCCCCTTCTCTCTCCTCCACCAGCGCACTCCCCGGCCAGGGATCCCCTCCGCTCCCCTCCGCCAGCGCTCCCCTCCACTCCCCTCCTCCCTTCCGCCACTCCCCTCCTCCCTTCCGCCAGCGCTCACCTCTACTCCCCTCCTCCCCTCCGCCAGTGCTCCCCTCCACTCCCACCCGCCCGCTCCTCTCCACCTGTGTTCCTAGCGCTCCCCTCAACCAGCGCAACCCCCGCCAGCGCTCTCCTCCGCCTGTGCTCCCCACCGCCAGCGCTCCCCTCCACTCCCTTGTGGCCACTCCCCTCCGCCTGCGCTCCCCCCCTTGCTCCGCTGCTCTTCCACCTATCGGCTGCTCCTCTGGCCCTTTCCCCTCCTCAGCCACTCTCCACCCCCCAGCTACTCCATCTCCACCGATCCACCGCCCCTCCACCCCCTCCTCCGCCGCTCTTCGCACCAGTGCTCCCCTCCGCTCCCCTCCGCCAGCGCACCCATTCGCAAGCGCTCTCCTGCACCACCGCTCCCCTGCGCCTGCACTCCTTTCCACTCCCCTCCGCCAGTGCTTCCCTGCACCTGCGCTCCTTTCCAGTCCCCTCTGCCAGCGCTCACCTCCACCCCCTCTGCTTCCGCTTTCCCACCAGCACCTCTGCCTGCGCTCCCCTGCAGTCCCCTCCGCTAGAAGAAAGAAAAAATGTTAGGCGGGCACTCTGAGAGAGACACACCAGCAAGCACTCCCACGCACAGACTTAGCAAACTTGGCATCAAACGGGAAACCGAGCGAGGCGTACATTCCATTAGCAAAACTCAGAAATTGGTTGTGTGTCTCAGTCCGTGTTTGGCAGTTCCTTACACATTTATTTATTTTTGTTGACCTTTTGTCTCTAGTTTTGTCTGTTCCAGGGTGTCGTTTCTGGCTTACGAAGTATGTCCGAACGGACCATTGTCTGTTCGGACCAGGGCCTAGAGGCCAGGTTTGTGACTGGGCCATTTCAGGCCCGGTTTGGAGTCGTCCCATAGCAGACATTCCCCTGCTGCATCAGCAGGAGGGCCTGGATGCCGGATGTCACATTTTTTCCAGTCTGGTCACGTCTGACGATCGGAAAGCAAACAGACTGTCACACAGGATTTTGATGACTTTTGTGATAAATAAATAGTTTTAAATAAAGCAAATCCCTTCTTGTTGTGTGTGTCCGACTTCGAGCAAGATCCTTCAATTGCGGTCTTCGCCGGTCCCCAGTCTTTGGAATCTTTTATTTTGATTCGGAACAGCGAAGATCATGCAAATGACGATTATTAAATTTTGGTGTGCCATGCATGCATCAATTCTGCCAATTTACTAATTTTGAGAACTGTGACAAGATTATTAGGAAACACCATCATCAAGCAAGGTCAATACAAATGAATGAAGACTGGCGGACTCAAGGCAAAGACAAGATAAATGAGGGAAAAGTGAGAACTCTTAATAATCTCGTGAAGTACAGATGAACGGGCATGTCCAGTAGTCGTCATGAGTCCTCATTCATCCCTCTAGGGTCTCATACTGATCTCTCATTTGGCTGTGTGTTTCGCGTGCCTTGAGCCATGTCCACGTACTTCCTTAGATTGCGGCCTTTGGATATAGAGCTACCTAAAGCCTACAAGTCTGAACACCT